AGCTACTAAAAGAACATTTAACCTTACCAGGATAACAGCAAGCCATATGTTTTTTTGTATCTTTGTGTTTTTTGTTTTTGTTTTTGTTTTAAAGCCCAAATAAAACCGCTACAGAGGATATTTATTGAGGACGGTATGGGAGTTTCATTGAATCAAGTGGTTTCTATACCTTTTAATAAGATTTGGCTTTATTTGACAACAAAGCTATTAAGAAATGTTGGGTGTTTTTGTTTTTGTTTCATTTTTGTAGTATGAAGAAGAGGGAAACATCTTGATGTTAGGTACATGCCGGCTCTCGCTGATATCTTCTGACCTCAAGTGTCCCTGTAATGTATCATGCAGCCAGCTAAAGTCAGACTGAGAGGAGATGGGGAGAATATTGCCAGCTACAGCATAATGAACAATACAGCTAGGAGGCTGAATTTCTGTTTTTGGAGCTGCAGTTAGGGAGGTTAGAAGTAGTAATAGTAGTGAAATTCAGTATGGAGGTTAGCTACAGATCTAATAACCATGGCCCAGAAAGCAGCACAGGATAAAAACATAGTAAGGTAAACGTGAGTCAACAGTGTAATGATGTTGTAAAAGAAGAGAAAAAGCAAACATCTTTCAGGGATGTATTAGCAGGAGTGCTGTAAGCAAGACACAAGAAGTAATTCTTCCACTCTACTCTGCACTGATTAGGCCTCAACTGGAGTATTGTGTCCAGTTCTGGGTGCCACATTTCAGGAAGGATGTGGACAAATTGGAGAAAGTCCAGAGAAGAGCAGTAAAAATGATTTAAAGGTCTAGAAAACATGACCCGTGAGGGAAGATTGAAAGCATTGGGTTTGTTTCGTCTGGAAAAGAAAAATGTTATCGTGTCTCCTCAAGTACTTAAAAGGTTGTTACAAGGAAGAGGGAGAAAAATTGTTCTTCTTAACCTCTGAGGACAGGACAAGAAGCAATGGGCTTAAATTGCAGCAAGGGAGGTTTAGGTTGGACATTAGGAAAAACTTCCTAATTGTCAGGGTAGTTAAGTACTGGAATAAATTGTCAAGGGAGGTTATGGAATCTCCATCATTGGGGATTTTTAAGAGTAGGCTAGACAAACACCTGTCAGGGATGGTCTAGATAATACTTAGTCCTGCCACGAGTGCAGAGTACTGGACTAGCTGACCTCTCGAGGTCCCTTCCAGTCCTATGAATCTATTACCTGAGTACTTTCAGCCAAATAAAGGGAGACAAATTCTGCCATTAGAAATTCATGCTCAAATCCATTTGAATTCAATAACCAATAATTTTTTTACTAGCATTGTTATTTTTTCCTCTTATACTCACAGTGAAATGAAGTGGTTGCTCAGTGTATGAAAAACGGTCAAGTGATTTGTGAGAGTTTTGAAAACTGTTCCAGAGTAACAGCCGTGTTAGTCTGTATTCGCAAAAAGAAAAGGAGTACTTGTGGCACCTTAGAGACTAACCAATTTATTTGAGCATAAGCTTTCGTGAGCTACAGTGAGCTGTATGCTCAAATAAATTGGTTAGTCTCTAAGGTGCCACAAGTACTCCTTTTCTTTTTGAAAACTGTTATCATCAGAGCTATCCAGTAGCGCAAGAGTCTTGGTCCTAAGTTTTTGATTGCCAAATGCTGCTTGAATTAAGAAATAGCAAGAGATTAGTGAGTCTCGTAAGGAAATACTTTTTCGGCAATGTTTGCTGAAATTCAGTGAATGCTGAGTGTGAATGTGAGGACAGTATTTGATTACTTGGGATGAAGCTGTATAGAAAAGGAACTTTCTGGTAGCTACAAGTCTATGCAGGTGCATCTGTCTATTACCCCAAATCTCATCCTTTTAATTACAACTTCTTTATTGGGGGCTACTTTTTTGGCTTGCAAGAGATGTTTAGACTAGATCATATATCAGTCAGCCATACGCTGGAAGTATAATAAATGAATATAAACTTTGAAACCTTCAGACACAACATGTCCGAGTTGGAGAAATCCAGATTAGCGCAACCTTTTTCTTTAAATGTCAGGATGGGGAGGAGGAGGGAAGGGAGGAGGAGGGAAGCCAGTCTTGATATATAACTTCAGAAATGTCAACTTCTTACAGTGTGAATTGCTCATATTTGCTTTTCACCTTTTGAAGACTAATCCATTGTGTTCTCAGTGGAATTTTCTGTCTTGAATGTGTTGATTAAGGTATCTGTTACAAAGATTAGAAGAATGTAATACTCCTTTAGGTCAGGATGTTTGTTTTGTAACAGATAAAAAACAATTGTCAAAATATTTGCAGAGTTTCCCAACTTGGAGGCAGACCTCCATTGCTGATCTTCATATTAGTCTGTTTAGGGGGAGGAGGGATGTGGAAGAGGACAGGAGCAGTAGGCATGGAGAAGGCTACATAATGTCCTGCCTCTAAATAGGAGAATCCAGGTAATGGGATGCACAACATTTCATCTCTTCACAAAGTTTTAAGGCTGGCCTGTGACCAATAGTGAGGCAAATTTCTTACTATGTGAATACTGTTTTGCTGTATGTTTGTGAATGACCTGTTAAATTCAGTCCAATTCCAATGCATAGGAAGATGTCCAGGTCACAATAATCTACCCCCAAAGTAACCGGTAATAATTGTCTGCAGTAGAGGTAGGAGTCTGGAAAGTGAAGTACTCTCTCAGTGTTAGAGATGATCCTTCTGGTCAAGGTGGAGGCACATGAACAAGACGGTAAGGAAACGCTTGACTTGATATTGCTTGTCCCGTACATGACCTTTGACTAAATAGAATATTTTAGCCTACAGAGCTATGTATCTAATGCCTTTCACCAATGCAAAATTTACATCATGCCTATTTCTGCCCTTAACTGTCCGCTTAGCATTTATCTGGCCCTTAAAATAGGTCTTTTCAAGTTGCTATTAGAATTTTTAAAAGCAGATTCCTGTTTACCGTACTCTTCTTAACTGTCTTCCTGCTTCTTTCGTGATTTTTCATTCATGTCTTTTTTGCTGTCATAGCCCTGCAGCTCTGCTATCTCTTAGTTCTGCACATTAAAATGTAATGGGCATTCTGTGTATGCAAAGCCATAGCATTTTGTCTGTTTAGCTGAGAGAGTATTGAAAACCTTTGTGTTTATATCCATGGCTAAGGAGACTCCAAGCACTAAGGAAATAACTTTGCCACATGAATAAGAAAACAGCAAATCTCTTTAGGAAACTCTCACGTTCATGGACACTAAATAAACTGCCATAAATTCTGGTGTAGATCTCCTCTTTCATTTGCTAGTTAAGACCCTGATTCACCAAATAATTTAAGCATGTGCTTAAAGTTAATCATGTACTGAAGTATTTTCCTGAATCAAGGTGTATGTGCACGGTCCTGAGAAGTGCTGAGCACCATCAGTTCCCATTGACCTGTGAGAAGAATTCTGTGGGCTCAGCAGGCCTTACTATGTGAGGTATCCTCATGCAAGTAGTCCTTTTATGGTTAATGCGATTATTTGTATACATAAAAACTACTTGTGGGGCATCAGGGAGTTATGGTCAAGAAACAACTGTCTGTTGCTATGATTCTTAGGCAGGTTAATTTTTAACTACCAGTCCATCTCAAATTTGCAGCTTGTTCAGGTGACGCTCTTTGTTAAGCTGAATTAGTTGATCTTTCCTAATGAAATGCCATTGCAAAGTCATATTTGATCGTGCTTTCTGTATCCTGTTCTGAAATCACCTTGATGTGTTGGGTAGCAGGCCTGTCAGAGCTCTTTTCTCGTTTGATTGAGGGCTTAGCATGTCTTTCATCCTTGAAGTGAAATGGAGCTGATCTCAGCACTCAAGCAGTAACAAAGTGCCATGACAGATTAAGAAACGCTACATATTTACAGAGATTGGAAGCTAATGCAAGTAACCAGACCTTCATTAGTGTCTTGTCAGAGTTGTCAGGGGAAAAAAGAAGAGCTTCTCACAGGAAGCTAACAGCTTAATCTTCTCAATTTATGTTAAAAAAGATAAAAGGATGGGCTTCCTGACACATGTCGGGAGTTATGATCCCAGGTGATGGAAAATGTCATTTTATTCAAGCTGTTTCTCTTTGTACGTTTCCATCTTGCTGGTTGAAGTTGCCTTTTGGATCTGTAGGTGATTGTGTAGGAGTCGAGCGTGACACTGTACCATCTCTGGAGACAGCGCTGATGAATCTACTGCACAACAGAGACATCAGAAAACTCCATTAAAATCTTCTGGAAAGACACATTCTGACTTGCATTAATGAAGTGCTATGATTTGCGAATGCAGCTGTATTAAAAAATGAGATATTGTTATTTAGCTGGGTACTTGTTAATGTCTCCAGGGAGGCTGTTCATAAACTATATGGACTTTCAGAAAAATGAAGATCTTTTTCGGTGCCCTTTTCTTTTGTGAATCAACAATTAACTATGACAAATTAAGGGCTGGTGAGGTACTGCGTCCTTCATTCATACTGTGTTTAATAGAATAGGAAAATATTTAAGCATGGTTGTCAGGTTAGAATTTTAGCTGTGTATGGCCCCTGAGAATAGAGGAGTAACACTGACTGGAGTTACCAGATGGTCTATTACAGATAGTCTTACAAGTTCTGTTTAACAGACTGTATAGGCAGTTAGATCTTGGGAGAAAATGCTGTGTTTTTATTTATGATACGGTTCTTTTTAGATGCCAAGCATATCACGAATAAAACGTTGTGGGCTCCTTCCCTTCCCCCCCGGCCCCCGTTTCTGAATCTCTCTTACTGGAATAGTTTTTAGGTGCACAGATGCTGCCACACAGGACGAAAATATTATATGGTGACAAAAATATTACTTGATGAATGCCCTGGAATGCAAAGGTTGAGTGGCTGAAGAAAGTTGTAAGCTGCAGTAAACTGAAACCATATGCTTTATGCAGGGTTTTGTTTTCTGAGCAAAGAAAGTTGCATTCCTAAGATAATGCCTCTCATACATGCTTGTTTTGAATTAAAGATCTAAAAATCTTTTTCTTTTTTGTTTTGTTTTATAGAAGCTCCACCAAAGCTGGAAGAAAATCCTGCAGAAGCTTTCACTGACTCATCCCTCTTCGCTCACTGGGGCCAGGACCTCAGTCCTGAAAACAGACGCATTGCCCTTAAACAATTCCAGTATTATGGCTACAATGCTTACTTGAGTGATCGCCTACCATTGGATAGGCCACTACCTGACCTGAGGCCCAATGGGTAAGTGCTTTCAATTGAACTTACTATTAACTATACCCGAAATGCCAATGGTTAGGAGAATTCCCAAGTTCTACAGCAAGCCCACACTTTTTAATTGGAAATGTTATGAAACATTATATCATTACTGTGCTGGTGCATGGGTTACCCAGGCTGAATTGAAGGAGCTTTATGAAATAAGTGTAGGCTGAGATTTTCAAAGGAAGTTAGGTGCCAAACTCCCATTGACAGTCAGTGCCTAACTCCCTTAAATCCCCTTGAAAATCCTAGCTGTGACTTACGCTGCACAGCCGGTCAGTGAGCTCTGTTGTTTAGCCCAATCTATCAGAGAAGAATCTGCTTATTTTTTTGTGTTAACCCGCAGTCCATTCAGAAGCTGTGGTCGATACAGTTGAATGAATCAGAATTACAGTTACTGGAAGTTAGTAGAACCCAGGCAGTGATAGCCCAACAGTGCAAGTACACCTGGAATTGTGCAGAGTGCATGTTGGAATGGTCCACTCAAAGCTGGGGAGTCCAGAGCTGGCTGGTACAGATCAGAAAGCAGACAAGGCTGGCCGGCTCAGGTGGTGCACACAGGCTATGTACTGATTTATTGCATCTCTTGGGTAGCCTCTCTTGGCAGAATTCCTGTGGAACCCCAGGTGGAGTTCAGAATGGCTGTTCTCTGGGGGAGGTACCATGCTGGTTGACTAAGCTGCTCCCATGCTAAGTAACCAGTTGTTTCCTCACCCCCTGTCAGGGTGCATGAGGCCCAGTGGCTGCACAAACATTACTGCTCTGGTAATGCATCTTGGTCCTATTCTGGTGGGACCACCTATAGAGGTGGTAGAGTCAAGTCTCCTTATCCACTCAGTCCTTGGCAGGTCGTCTTACACTAGAAACAAAAGTGCCAAGTTTCTGATGTGAACACTTGTCTACTGGAAACTGGATGGAGAGAAATTGATTTCTCACAATCCACCCAAACAGATATTACAGTAATCGCTACTGGCTGATACAAACCAGGATTAGGTTTGCACCAGTGATCTAGACATGAACGGCTTTGTCTCATTACCAACTCATTAAGCGATCCAGTTGGCTTCTTATTCAGGTCTTTAAACCACATGTTGCAACAAGTAAAACAAGCAAACAGAAATTGTACCATATACTAGATAAAGTAATAAGTTAAAAAAAAAATGACCCAGAATCAATTAAAAGGTTTGATCACAGCACCAATCCAGAATCTAGATATTACAAATGTCTCTATCTGAGATCTGATACGGTGGCAACATAAAAGATATCAAGCCCTGTGCAATTATATGTGCCTTCTAGTTTTATCCATTAGCAGTATCTTTATGCACAATCTGTTCCTTTTTTAATTGTAAATTAATTTAGAAAAAAATAAATCTTCTAGGACTAACAAGATGTTCTTGCCAGAATAGAAGCACGTTTGTGCTTTTTTTTTCTTATGAAATGATGCTCCTCAAGGATTTCAATTTAATTTTTTAAAACTCTAAATATAAAAAATTAAAAAGTCAGAGAGCATGAATGTTACTATGTCTGAGAGAAAATTATTACTGTGGGGGTTTTTAAAGAAATCCCGGTTACAGGGAATTGTGTTTGTAATTTCCATGGCAGTTTTGATCCTTAGTTAACTCTGCACAGTCAAAATTTAAAATATACTTCTGGATCCATGACTACAAAATAATGAATGGTCTAAAGAAGACAGGATGCATAGATGTTTCTGATCTTTCTCCCAATACAAGAACAACGGAATATTCAATTAAGTGTGGCAAATTCAATACTGGTGAAATGAAATATGTTTTCAGGCAATGTACAAGTAGTTTGTGGAACTTATTGCCACAAGATATAATTGAGGCCAAGAATGTAACAGGATTCCAAAATAGAATTGGACACTTTATATAGATAACAAGAATTTCCAGAGTTATAATAGCCAATATTTATAAGAGACTTCTGGAAGGGATAGAAAGGCTCATAGAAGTGTAGGACTGGAAGGGACCTCGAGAGGTCATCTAGTCCAATCCCCTGCTCTCAAGGCAGGACTAAGTAATAACTAGACAATTCTTGACAGGTACTTGCCTGGCATAAACCAACCCTTAACTATTGTAGGTTCGGAGGGATCTGTCCCTGAAAATGTGTTACCCATAATCACCCACTGCAGCATTTTTTGCACCTTCCTCTAAAGGAGATGATATTGGCCATTGTCAGAGACAAGATGGAGCACTGGTCTGTTCCATTCTATTAGTATTTTCCTGCATAGTTAGCACCATTAAATAAATTAATACATACTATGCAGTGGTATTTACCTTTAGGCCAGTATTTATTCCAGATACTGAGAATGAAAAATACTAGAAATAATGCTGTAAATTTAATTACCATATGTGGCAAGGTTGAATTTTTTTAATGGCATCCCCTGTAGCTGCCTGACAGTATCTAGCATACAATAGATCAAATACCATACACATGTGAAAAATGTCAGTGGCAAGAAAGACCCAAAGCCTTATACATTTTTGAAACAGTAAAAATAATTACTCTTCTCTGGAGAGAAAATATAAATCCACTTTATGTAGTCCAAGCTTGCCTCCATCAGTGTTTTGGCTTCGCTGGTAACCGAAATAACAGCAGACATAAACTGCTGCCTAGGTTTTCTCCTCAAACTATGCTCTTCTTATGTTCTTACAAGTCCTCTCTGTACCAGACCCTAATTTAATCAAGTACTTCAACTCCTTTTATAGCATACTAGTATGACTCTCTGCTCTTTCGTGTAGGGTTTGAACAGTTGTATGTAGGATGTCTTAAGAGAGGAGCCCTACATCCATATTTAGGGTCAGAGAGTCAGCAACTCTGTTGAACATGTTAGGCACATACAATATACATAATTTTGAGAAGCAGTCTTATGTTTTATAGGCTCAGTTTTTGCCTACATTTAAATGTAAAACCACGTATGGCAGTTAGAGGTCTAAGTTGCAATGATTTGGGCTGCAATTAGTTGTGCTCACAAAACCAAGGCCGGATTTTGTGAACCAAAGATGTTTAAACATGGAAAAAATGGGCCAGTCCTGGGGCCCTTATTTCTTTAGGGTAAACTGATCAATTTTAATGGGAAAGAATCATTGTACAAATAAAGTAGAGGATGTAGCAATTGCCATATCTCAAAGTAGGTTTTAAGTGCGACTTATATTGAACCTAGCCATGTGCTCAGCCTCTGTATAGGAGTGAATTTCACCTGTTGAAACTGCTCACTTTCCTTTGGGGTATGCATCTCTTACTATGTGTTTCTAAAGTGGTAGCAGGATGGGACCCCAAGCCTAGTTGAGAACTGTAGGCGCTGTTGTAATACAAATGACAATATTGTGCTAATGTCTATGGAGTATTCAAACATCCTGAAATGATAACATATTGGAGTAGTTCCCTGCTGTGTATCTCCTTATCTACAGTACTTACCACACTGCATAAGCAATACTGTGGGGATTCTGTCACATCTTTCTCTCCCAGTACTTCCCGATAGTTATTTTCTGCTGCTGGAATATCAGTGATTAGCTGTTTACTTCTCTGCCTCCCACCCCCAGTCTCCATCTGTCAGTCAGCACTGCGTCTATATTTGGCAGAAAATACCACTGGCAACAACTAACTACTAGCTCTAGTGAGCTTGGAACCATTTTGAAGAAAGCAGTGCCAGCCTTACTCTAGGCAGGAATGGGATAACACATTGGGTTAGCTGCAGCTCTGCTGTGCTTATTGTTTTAAGTAGGGCAGGCAGCGCATATGAAGCTTGCTGCATGTAAAACATTGAACAAGAAAGATATTGTTGAAAGTTAGGTTATTAAGGAATCGCAGAGCTGTGCACCAAGTCTTCTTTTGACCAGCTGCAGAATTATGCTTCCACTTTGCTGGTTGGGAACATTTTGTTGTTGTTGTTGCCTGATCCCTGAAGCACATCTGTTAAACAAAGATAACATTCAGTCCTTTTTCTTCTTTGCTTATGGAGGGGTGAGGTGTGGGGAATAGAGGTAAAAGGTGCACAGTAGATCCCCAGTGGAGGAAATGTTCTGCAGAATTTCTTTTACGAGGCATATGTGGAATGAAAGAATAGGCCAATGGGTGACTGCAGTCAGTGAAGCGCTTTCTGCATTGAGAAACACTGTATTTGCATGAAAATCATCGGCAGGACAACTGGAGGGAGGGAAAAAAATGTGGCTTTTCTCTTGTTGCAGGGGTTGCTAAAGGTACAACAGTGTTTGCCTTGTAGTAGGATCACTTCTTTTCCCAGCTGACTGAGTACAGTTTGGCACCCTGGAAGTGTGCAACGGGGATGTTCTCTTCGCTATGCAGGGAAAACGTTTTGGTTGCATATTAAAGACCTGTTTAGAAAACTCAGCTATTCCACATTTATACCACATCGAGGTCCCAGTTCAGTAAGGTAACTGAGCATGGGCCTAACATTAAGCAATAAGTTAAAGCTAGGCATGTGCTTAACAATCATGGTAAATCAGAACCTTAAGGTTTGATCTTGCTCTCATTCAAGTCAGTGGTAAAAGTCTGATTGCTTTGAATGGGAGCAGGATCCAGCCCATAGAAACAATCATAAACCAGGAGCTGATTGAGCAGATGGGATAGCCAAGGAATGAAAATATGGCTGCAGAGAAAAGGGAAACATCCATTAAATTCATGTTTTGTGATGCTTTAGCGCAGGGGAGTCATTTGCTCGTCATCTGCTTATGTAACTGTTCCCAGTGTTGGTCAGCGTTATGGTAGTATGTATTGTCCTGGAGATGACATTGGGAGACTTGAACCTGGGAGCTTCTACCAATTTCATTGGCAAAAAGCAAATGACCTCTGTGTCATCCCAAATTATAAGAGAACAGGAGATGTTACTTCTGAGATAGAAAGCAAGTAATCTCTGTGTGTGTTCTGATCAGTTTTGAAGGGCAGTCTCGTTTAGCATAGGAAGAGGGGGAATACATACAGAACCTCACTTATCCATAGCTGGATAAAGAGTGGTC